GTATTTTCCAGTCTGCAATTGGTTCAAGAATTATCCCTAACTTCTCAGATTAAGCTAGGCATTTTAACATGTTCATTATTGAAAACTTTTTTGATCATTGATACATGTAGTTATTTAGGATATTGATAAATGCAGTAATAAGTTACCCATCTATGCCAGAAATCACACTGTTCCTATAAGTAAAACTGTGAAAGGCACTCAGCTGCCATACATCTATCCACCCCAACAATAGACTGAATAGAATGCTTTCAATAGCTGACAATGCATTGAGACCAATTCTTGATCAATCTTTTCCTACTCCATTCTGAGTGTTGAGCTTTTACTCCATCCTAAAATAAAAAGCAAGTGTTTTGTGTGATACTTTGTCAGGCATGCTACACTTATGCCTTAGTCTTTTACAGTCCATCTATAGACTCAATTCCAATAGACCTAACCTGTGAAGAAAGAGTCCATTTACTGACTCCTTACGTAGATACAGAGAATATGCAGATAATTTGGCATTTATGACCTTTAAAAATCAGAAATAAGGAGCTAATTAAAAAGTTGTGAAATGACCCGACATGTATAAATATAGTTGTTGACCTACTTAAGATAATTTGAATTAATGTCATGGATAATTTAGACGTCATTTTTGCCTAGCTGTAGTTTGCTTATAAGGAATGAAAAAATGGAAAAAGATCCAAGATTCAAGCATTCTCTCAAATGGAGAAGTCCCATGGTGCTCAGCTGTGCTTAAAATATATCTGTCTATATACATACACATACACACAGTGAGACAAATTATCTTCATAATTCTGTAATGTTTAATATAAATTTACAATAGGGACAATTATTTAAAGAGCTACTTAGCTACTTCAAAGAATTTGGGTCCAAGCTGCACCATTATGAATATTTATGAAAGTTATAAGACTCCCTTAAAAATCACTGGACTTGAGGCAGCTTAAAGAAGCTACATTATAAAAGCAAAAGACATTCTCAAAATAAAATGTACTAATTTATTAAAACTATTTAATTAACTAATCAATAGTTAATTAAGTATTAATCAACAGCAGTGATTAAAATGCCAACAAAAAGGAAAGAGTTAAAATTATAGAATTGTAAAAATAAGCGCAAAAATGCCAAGATGAAACTGAATTTATCTGAGCTGGGAAACAATAATTTTTTATTTGAACTGCTTTGTGATGCAATGCGATCAGATTCAAACCCAAAGTCAGTCAGTTAGTCATTGGTTGGTTGTCTGTCTGTCTGTCTACCTATCTCCAAAGCACCTGAAGGCAGGACAAGAAGTAATGGATGGAAACTAATCAAGGAGAGAACCAACCTAGAAATAAGGAAAAATTTCCTGACAATTAGAACAATCATTGAAATGGCTTGCCTTCAGAAGTTGTGGGTGTTTCATCATTGGCGGTTATCAAGAAGAGATTGGATAACAATTGTTTAAAATGTCTCTTGCTTGAGCAGGGGGTTGGATTAGAAAACCTCCAAGACATTGGTCTGTCTGTCTATCTCCTTCATAAGCATGGTAGAGGAGAATGCTATTCTATTTATTTATTTATTTATTTGATTTGCCAATTGTTTACAAGATAATAAGTATAAGTGTATACATAGTTGTGAATACATGAAATGGGTACATATAAGAAAAATAAAAGAATAAGAGAAACAATAGGACAGGGACGGTAGGCACGATGGTGCGCTTATGCACGCCCCCTACAGACCTCTTAGGAAAGGGGTGAGGTCAATAGTAGACAGTCTAAGGTTAAAGTTTTTGGGGTTTGGGGTAGAGTATTCCAGACATTGACCACTCTATTGCTGAAGTCGTATTTCCTGCAATCAAGTTTGGTGCGGTTTACTTTGAGTTTGTATCTATTGTGTGCTCTTGTGTTGTTATGGTTGAAGCTGAAGTATTCATTGACAGGTAGGACATTGCAATGTATGATTTTATATACCATGCTTAAGTCAGACCGAAGACGGCGTAATTCAAGGTTTTCTAGTTTTAGAATTTTGAGTCTGGTGGCATAAGGTATTCTACAATGAGTAGAAGAGTGGAGAACTCTTCTTGTGAAATATTTCTGGACTTTCTCAATTGTGCTAATATCAGATACGTAATGAGGGTTCCAGACTGATGAACTGTATTCGAGTATTGGTCTAGCAAATGTTTTGTATGCTCTGGTTAGTAGTGTGATATTACCAGAGAAAAAACTACGTAGGATTAGGTTAACAACTCTTAATGCCTTTTTGGCTATGTAGTTGCAGTGGGCTCTAGCACTTAGATCATTAGAGGTGAGTATTCCAAGGTCCTTTACAGAGCTTGGGTCATCAACAAGATCTTGACTATTCAGCTTGTATTTTATTTTCTGATTTTTTTTGCCAATATGTAAGACAGAGCATTTCTTTGTTGAGATTTGAAGTTGCCATTTGTTTGACCATTCAGATACATAGTCAAGATCTTTTTGTAGGGTAGCAGTATTGTCTGTGGTATTGAACAGCTTTACATCATCAGCGAAGAGAACGCAATTGCTCTTAATATGATCACAGAGGTCGTTTATGTAGAGTATGAAGAGAGTTGGTCCTAGAACACTGCCCTGGGGGACACCACTATTGACAGGTACTGGATTTGATAGAACGCTCCCGATTTTGACCATTTGTTGTCTGTTTGACAGGAATGCTTCTATCCAGTTATTCAGTTGTCCAGAGATACCATAGGATTTTATTTTTAGGAGTAGTTTGTCGTGTACCACTGAATCAAAGGCTTTACAGAAGTCTATGTAGATTGCGTCAATTGCTTTGCCCTGGTCGAGTTGTGTCGTCCATATGTTTTTGCAGTGTAAGAGTTGCAGATTACAGGATAGTTTTTTTCTGAAACCAAATTGTTTATTGGAGAGTAGGTTGTTTGTCTCTAAGTGGAGGATGATGGATTGGTTAATAATTGATTCCATGACTTTACAGGTAACGCAGCATAAGGAGATTGGCCTGTAATTTTCAACTAGGCTTGGGTCTCCCTTTTTGAAGATGGGGATGACTGTGGCTTGTGACCATAGGTTAGGCAAGGAGCTGGTCCTGAAAGATTTTTCAAAGATTATGCTTAGAGGTTTGGCTATGGCAGTGGATAGCTTTCTTAAGAAGTAGGCACATATTCCATCCGGTCCAATAGATAGAGATGGTTTTAGATTGCGTAGTGATTTTTCGACATTGTCTTCTGTGAAATCGATATGTATTAGATCATTGTTGTTATCTGTGGTACAGCTAGGAAATACTGGGCATGATCCATTGCTGTTTACAAATACTGAGCCGAAGAATGTGTTAAAGATGTTGGCTTTAATGGTGTCGTCGTTGCAGTCTTTACCGTCAGGTCCTATCAAGGGAGGGATGGACCTTGAGTCTTTTAGTTTGTTGTTTACAAAATTGTAAAAAGCTTGGGTGGAATTGGTGCTTAGAAGGTTTTCCTCTTGTTTAATGTGATAATTGGTGCATTCAGTCTTTATCTGGTGGCATAAATTTTTGTATCGGTTTTTGAAATTTTTGAAATTCTACCAATGTAGACCTGAGAAAGATAAACACTGCTGGATTTGATTAGTATTTTGATGGGAGACCATTAAAATTTCCCGGACTATAGATTATATGGGGGAGAGGATAAAAAGATAATGAGAAACTAGTTCTGTGTTATTGCCAAAAACCCTACAGAGACATGTCCCTGTAGTCAGCAGCAGAAGCCAAGCTCAGTGTGAAAGAAACTATTTTTACTTGTCCTTCATAAGTGATGTGTAAAATAACCATGGAGAAAGGAAAACATAAGGTTAAAATGCACCTTGGCAGTTCAGCAAGGCATTTGCTTCTTCTGGATTCACTGTTCTGTTGAAGGATTTCATCTATGAAACTGTTTACCTGTTCTGTAAGGTGACAGCTAGATAACTTTCTGTCTTCCAACTGCACTAAATCATTTGGGAACATGTCACTGGAAATTTCTGAATTGTTGCTGAAGCTGCGGTGCCTTATGCTTATGTTTCAATTCTAATTTGAGGTCAGTGCAAGACACACATATTTATTATGCTAGTGAAACACTCTTATGTATCTGCTGCTATGTTACAGGCTAATCCAGCATTTGAAGTCACCATTATAATTTTAGGAGTATCTGGAAGCACTGAAATGCCAAGAGTAGTATTCAAAATCCCAATTAATGCTTGTAGGCTATTTCCTGGTATAGATATAGGTCAGGGGTCCCCAACTCCTGGGCCGCAGCTCATTACTGGTCCTTGAGCCATGTGGAAGGTAGGCAAGCATGCACATTTCCACTTGCATGAGCAGCAGATGAGCATGTGCACATGCACACTATTTGTGCAAGTGGTAGGTGGGCATGACCGCTGCATGTGCACGCTTGCACACCACTTGTGTGGAATCATCCCTCCCCTCTGCTCCGCTGGAAATATTGGAGAACTCTGATATAGGTGATATAGATATAGATAGGTATAGGCTGGTCTAGTATCTTCTATTAATACTCATTGAAAATCCCATATCATTCAAACATGCACACTTTCACTGAAAATGCCAGTCCAGTTCAGATGTAGCATGGTGATATGCTTTAGTTTGTTTTTCTATATTTATTAAATCACAATTAACCACATGCAAGTTCACACAGCATGTTGAACCATTATTTAATCATGATTGGCTGAGTTTACACAATGTGCTTAATCCAAACCAAAGAATTATATTATGTCTTGAAGCAGCCTTAAGTCAGAATACTGGATTATTGCTTGGAACACAAGATCGCAAAGTAATTTTAACTGGGTTGCACTTTATAATTATATTTGGAGTTTATTACACATAGTGCTTAATTTGAATTCAATATTCTCTGTTTTGATTGACTGAAAGAAAACTCATATATGAGTAGCAATAACAATGCTTTTTTGTGTCACATACCTTCAAACATAGGTGGAAGATTTGCACACTAATGGCTGATCAAATAGCATTTTGTGATTGAGGTTTATTTCATTTTTCTTTTTTAGGAAAAAATCTTTCCTGTTTTCTGCTCTATATGCTGCCTTTATATTCGGTGGTCGGCATCTAATGAACAAAAGAGCAAAATTTGAACTAAGAAAACCATTAGTTTTGTGGTCTTTGAGTCTCGCAGTTTTCAGGTAAGCTACTTTTTGGAAGAAGCTATTCATATTTAAATATTCTTATTTAACTGATTTAAATAAGGAAAATATTTTGAAAGTTAATTCTTTAAAAACATCAGGTTCCTTACATTTTATAACTGCCTTCCCCAAGCAGGAGACCTTGGAGATAGAGAAATTTCAACTCTCAGAATTCCCAGCCAATGTATTTTATAATATATATGTACCACAACTGCATGGTGTGAACTGCTTTTTCTGTAGTGTTCCATACCCTGTGAGGCATCCCTTTCCCAGTTATCTGGCCACTTATTCCCCCAAGTGCTAGGCTGGAGTGAAATGGGAGCCTGTGGATGGCATGTTAGGGGCATCACAGGGCAATCGGTAGGGCACGAGGGGTTTCTTTGTTTTATGGGTGTTTTATTTTACTGCTTTGTGCCTTAATGCTCTAAAGTTATGCTCAAAACGGGTGCATCTAAAGTTAGGCTTTAAAATGGGCGGCTATACAATTTTTTTAGATAAATAAAAATAAACTGTACTCCTGAAAGATGTATGTCCTTTCAAGCTTCATTAAAGCATATGAGGATTGGCTCAGGATTAAGAAACATCTAAGGAAGTAAGTACAATATTATTTTCACCATCTTTAAATTGTGGGTTTAATCTGTTTACCACAGCTTTATTGTGATTCTACCTTGCAATCTTGTACTTGTCTACTCAAATTAACTCACATTGGAAGCAATACTGCTTAATCCCACAGGAATGCACTGTATGAGAGATTGTTAGTAGTTGAAAATAAGAAGAGTCTGGTAGCACTTTTCCAGCCTAACAAATTATATGAAAAGGCATAAGGTTTCATGAGCTAGAGTTTACTAGTCATGTGCATGGAAATGTAGGGTGCAGCCTAGGTTTCTGCTACATGTTGAAAAGTTTTCTGACAGTTGTAATGTGTATGAGAATCATTTTGGTGCGCCAGTCTTAAGGGAAAAAGTAAAGGCAAACCACTTCTAAAAATTCTTGTTCAGGATTGGCTCATAGACAATTATCATCATCATCATTGTAAATATTTTGATTAGAATAATGATAAGTAGATAGATAACAGATTTCAGTGTTGGATACTCTATTTTCTCCAACAACCGGATACCTCTGGTTTTTTTTTTTATAACCTTAAGAATATCCTGTAGAAATAGGCCTTCTTCCTTTTTAGACTGCTGTTCAAATCTTCATAAATATCTCAAGATACTTTCGGGACCTAAGATTTACTACCATTACCACTATGATCATAATATAACAGCCTGTTTTCTGAAAAAAATCATTGGGGATTATTTAAATGTTATCCCATATTTATGTATGTCTTTTGAAATGTGTTAAAGTTTATTAAGTAACTCCTTTAATTACAAGGAGATTATTTGCCAAGTAGAGAATTTAAACTGAAAACATCTACAATGAGAAGCTGCTTCATTTTGCTACAGTCATGTATGATGTCTTTAATAACATAATTTTATCCCAATGGGTAGTTCTAATATATTTATTTAGGGTTCTGTAAATAATATATACATTTATTTTCTTGGGTTACATAATATTTTGTGTCATCTATTGAATCTGAAATAATATTAACATGTCACAGTATTTCAGGAACTTTTTTCCACACTTAGAATATCCACTTCTCCCTGAGAAGGGCATGTGTTTATTTTTAAATCTACTCCTATCAAATTTTACTAATTTTTATTGAATACTTTCCTAAGAAATTATACTTGACCCTGTTTGGGGGAATAAATAGAAGCAATAGCAACTAGCAATTTGTCTAATTCTCCCTAAATAAGTATATTTACAGTATTTATAAATGCTGATTTATCTAACAAAATTTAACAAAACAAATAAATATTTTTTAAAAAAAATCTAATGTTCATTCCATCTTTTATAATAAAAGAAGATAAATATTTATATCAATTTCTAAGAGGTGCTTATTGATTGGAAATGTTAAAGAAAAGATAAAACACTGCAATCCGTTATAGATTATACTGGCTAGAGTCTTATGCCAGTTTGGCACACTCTACATTTACTGGAATTGCCATCTTAAAAGCTCTTCATTCCTTCAGCCATACTGACTGGAATCTCTGGGAACAGTTCAGTCAATATATTTGAAGAGTCTAATCTGATTCCAGCTTTGGGTCTCCAGATGGAAGGAGGGCAATTATAGTTGGAAGCCACTGGAAGAGCTAAATCAGAAGCAGTAATGGAGATGAGTAGTGGGAAACATCTGCAAGTGTTCATGACAGATAACTAAAAGAAAGAATCATCTAGCCTCAATTACACTTCGCTTGTTATTGAAAAAAGTGTAAGATTGATTGAAGTAATATAAGAACTCGTCAAATGAATAAATAAGCAAGCAAGCAAACTCACAGGATCCCAACATAGCTACAAACATTTCTTATTATCCACGAGGCTACATGTTCCATCTGATTTTATGTCTCTGCAATGTTTTTAAGTAGAAAATGAGGCATAAGACTGTCCTGGTATAAAGAAAAGCTTCAAATATTTCTTCTTAATAGTGCTTCTGAGTCACACCAAGCACTTTCAAAAAAAATTAAATGGGGGGGGACTGGTTTTTTTTTTTTTAATGCACCTATCTACTCAGAAAAAGAACTTGAGGTAGTATAGATCTGTCTGCGAAATTAAAGGGTGTTGGCAGGAAACAACTTAGGCAGTTTAACTTCTCACAATTATATGTTTGGCCATGCATATAAATGTAGAGATTTTGAGAGCATCCCATTAACATGCTTCTCAGCTCAGATGTTTGGAGCCATTTGCCTTCCTTGAATACCCATATACCTCAACGAATCCTTTATCAGAGCTCTCAATCACTCAATGACTGGCATTGTGCTCCAATTGTGTTACTGCTACTTGGTTTTTGTGATATCTTTTTCTCTGATAGGATCACAGAAAACAAGAACGGGTGATCCTTGCTTACTGACCACTCATTCAGTGATGGTTCAGTTACGGTGCTGCTGAATAAGATCTATAACCAGTCCTTGAAGTTGCAGATGCTGCAGTGTCTGTGTGATCACGTGATTGCGATTCAGTCGCTTGGCAACTGGCAAACATTTGTGACAGTTGCAACATTCTGCAGTCACATGATTATCATTTGCAACCTTCACAATCAGCTTCCACCCAAAAAAAAAGTCAATGAGGAAGCCTTCAGGAAGCCACAAGTCATAGTCATATGACATCATGCTTAACAAGCATAGGTGATTAGCTAATGACCACAGCTGGAATTGCCATAGTAAGTTGGGTACAATCATGTAACTTCCTATTTTATGATTAAATCACTTAACATCAGAGTTGTTGATCTAATTGAGTTCTGTCAGTGAGGATTACCTGTAGACCAGAGGTGTGCCAAACTAAATTTCATTGAGGACTATATCAGGGTTGTGTTTGACCTTGGGGGGCTGGGGAGGACATGGCCAGGGTAGGTATGGCCAGCTCAACGTCACTCGTGTTGGGGCGCCTGTGAGGGCCAGAACGCTCTGCCAGCAAAAACAGGCTCCCGAGCTCCATTTTTGGCTGTGACAGCCTCCTGTAACCCTCTGTCAGCTAAAACAGAGCTCGGGAGGGACCACCTGTGGCCCTCACATGCTCCGTTTTCAGCTGGGATGGCCTCCTGCAACCCTCTGCCAGCAAAAATGGAGCTCAGGAGGGCCACCCACAGCCCTCCTAAGCTCCATTTTCACTGGCAGAGGCACCCCGCCGGCTGGATTTGGCATGGGCCTTGAGTTTGACACCCCTGCTGTAGATCAAACTGATATCCTAAAAGTAAAAAAAAAAAATCAATCATCAAGGTTGGTCATTAGTAGTGATATTTGGAACATAATTTCTTGCTGTCCCTTAATTAGAAATGTTATTTGCAGTCTTTTATTTATCTGTTTGTTTGTTTTCATATCTTCCTCTTGGAATCTAAAGTGGCATGCAGTGGTATCTCAGCCCAGTTTTATTCCTACAAAGCAGATTAGACCAAGAGTTAGTGAGTCTGCCAAAATACTAATGAAGCTGCACTTTAATGTAGTCATGCTGACATAATCCCTGATGTTACACTGGTCTGATCCCTATTGAAGATATCCTTGCCCAGTTCTCTGGAGATAGCATCAGATGATCCTAAGAATAAGCTCTTTATTTGGAACATTGCCTTGTAATTGTAGTAGCTATTTCAATCTTTTGTTACAATTTGTTTTTTGGCCAAATAGATGAAGAGGAATGACTTGATTGAGATGTTGCTTGCACTCACAAGGTGCTCTCAACCAACTGTTGTTTTGGCAGCAAATCATTTAGAGATCCACACTTTTCAGATTCTTTCGAGGTTGTTTTCACTATGAACCTTTAGTTTGAAAAGAAATGAGCTATTTCTTAGTCTTCCAAGTGACTATTTAGAACAGGAATATGCTTGATTATTTTTAGTTTTTAACTTTTTTACTACTGTCTTTTTTTCTTTTGTTTATTCATTGTGACATTTATTAGATTTCCTATCATTTTTAACCAAACTAAGACTTAGGTCAGTTGAGGCAAATACTGTATAAATAAGTATATTTACATTTTACTTTATAAACAAAATGCATTCAAGCTCATAGACAGATAGCAACAGCCTGAATGCATTTTACTCTGTAGATTATAGGTGTCATTATTGAGAACATAGGTACTTAAATAGGAACTTATTAATTTGCTTTTTTAAAAATAGCATTTCCATCAAATCCAGGACATAACTCAGCTTGAAAAACAAATAGGGTCCTTTTTAGCACTTTGTAAATATGAAACCAGTATTATATAAGCTTCAGGTTTACCCTAAATGCAGCATACAATTGGTGCATTTAGAATGTAGCAAATTCTTCACTTATTATGGAGTCCTTGGTATTCTCTTGCAGACATTTTGGGTAACACCATCAGTACTACTAGTGCTAATGGTATTTGCTCCCTGTTTATATGTGTAGCTTGTTCTGCAAGTATTGGTGAGTGTGTAGTTTTCTCCTTGGTAGTTC